ACATTGCAAAGTTCTGGGCCGCACCTCCGTTGCAGAGCACAGCATCGAAACCGAAGGCAGCTCCATTGTACGCCGCCGCCCATACCGTCTCTCTTCGGCAGAACGGCAAATCATTGAGGAAAACGTCGCCGACATGCTCAAACGGGATATTATTCGACCTTCATCCAGCTCCTGGTTGTCTCCTGTGGTGTTGGTCCGGAAAAAAGATGGCTCTGTCCGCTTTTGTGTTGATTACAGAGCGCTTAATAAGATCACGAAAAAAGACGTATATCCCTTGCCACGCATAGATGGTGCCCTGGACTCCCTACAAGGCACAGAATATTTCTCCAGCTTCGACCTCCGATGCGGGTATTGGCAAATACCTATGCACGAAGCAGACAAGGAGAAAACAGCGTTTGCGACGCCTGACGGGCTTTACGAATTTAACGTCATGCCTTTTAGCTTATGCAACGCTCCAGCAACATTCGAGCGCATGATAGATACTGTCTTACGTGGTCTGAAATGGAAAACCTGTTTATGTTATTTAGACGACATCGTCATTTATTCTTCTACTTTTCCTCAGCACCTTAAGCGTTTGGACGAAGTTCTAACGTGCATTTCGAACGCTGGCCTACAGCTCAATACAAAAAAGTGCCACTTCGCCAGCACAAGCATCAAGGTATTGGGTCACCTTGTCAGCAAAGACGGCGTTCGACCCGACCCCGACAAGGTTGCTGCCGTAATTAGTTTTCCACGTCCGCGCAATCAAAAACAATTGCGAAAATTCGTGGGCCTGTCGTCTTACTTCCGCCGCTTCATCCGTCACTTTGCTGCCATTGCGGGGCCGTTACACAAGCTTCTGACATCAGGAACGGATTTCACGTGGACTGACGAATGCGAGTGTGCTTTCCAAGCCCTTAAGCGTGCTTTGACATCAGACCCCGTCCTCCGTCACTTCGATGAGAGTGCACCCACTTTCCTGCGCACACATGCCAGCTGCCACGGAATCGGTGCTGTCCTCCCCCAGCGCGACGACACTTCACGTGAGAGAGTAGTTGCGTATGCCAGCCGCGCACTAACACCTGCGGAGCAGGAATGTCTCGCTGTCGTTTGGGCCATCCAGATATTTCGACCTTATCTGTATGAACGCCACTTCACTGTGGTTACCGACCACCATGCCCTATGCTGGTTGTCCTCGCTGAATAATTTGTCTGGGCGCCTCGGTCGCTGGATACTGCGTTTGCAAGAGTACACTATTGACGTTGTGTACAGGTCCGGCAAACAGCATCAGGATGCTGACGCTCTCTCTCGCTGCCCTCTGCCACTTTCATCTCCAACCACGCATCCTCAATGCCCCTCAGGTGATCAAGCGGCTTCCTCTTCACTCGAGTTATCGCCCCTGGCAGTTGCTGGGTTACTACCTTTAAACAGCAACGCCCAGTTTGACGCGTACCAACGTGACGACCCCTACTGTAATCGCATCATCGGATACTTGAATGGCTCGCCTTCTCCACCTAATGCCAGACTACGTCGTCAGCTACGGCTGTTCAAGCTAAAGAACAATGTCCTGCAGCACTATACTTACAATGCGGATGGGCATCGGTGGGTGCCAGTACTTCCCCGTTCGCTGCAAAAACAAGTTCTCGAAGCATTGCACGAGGACCCATCAGCTGGACACTTGGGATTTCAAGAGACCTACAACCGCGTTAGGAGCCGTTTCTTCTGGCCTAATCTTTCTACCTTTGTGGCTAATTATGTCGCTTCTTGCGCACTTTCTCAACGCCAGAAACGACCAACTTCAGCTCCTGCTGGCTTATTACAACCCATTCCATGTCCTGACACACCTTTTGCCGTTGTCGGAATAGACCTCGTCGGGCCACTTCCCGTAACGCCAGCGGGCCACCGCTGGATCGTTACAGCCGTCGACCACCTCACACGATACGCGGAGACCGCTCCTCTACGTACTAGCTCTGCCTCAGACGTTGCCGCCTTCTTTTTAGAAGCCGTTGTGTTGCGTCATGGTGCACCTCACGCGTTGTTGAGTGACTGAGGCAAGGCCTTCCAGTCAACAATTCTCGACGAAATCCTAAAAACTTGTGGCACAGTTCATAAGACCACATCCGCTTACCACCCGCAGACAAATGGGCTGACAGAGCGATTCCACCGGACTCTAATCGACATGATATCCATGTACATCGGACTAAACCACGATAATTGGGACAAAATCTTGCCGTTCGTAACATTTGCACACAACGCAGCTGTTCAACGAACCACCGGGTATTCACCTTTCTTCCTCGTCTATGGTCGTGCGCCGACATTCACTATTGACGCCTCTTTCTTCAATGTAATGACAAAAACGTCGACGACTACGCCAGAACATTTCGTATCCAGGCTTGCTGAGGCACGGCAACGTGCTCAACTCAACACGGAGGCCAATCAACAAGACCGCAAGCAACGCTATGACAGCTTTCGTCGAGACGTCACCTTCCGTCCTGGGAAATGAAGTACTACTTTCGACGCCTTTTCGCCCACCCGGATTGTGTGAAAAGTTTCAGTCACGCTTTCTAGGACCTTACGTTATTTGTGAACGAACATCTCCTGTCAATTACCTTGTCAATCCCGTCGAGGGTTCCTCGGACCGTCGTTATCGTGCCTCCGAGATAGCCCACGTTTCACGTCTTCAACCCTATGTGCGCCGTAACTTTCCCGCCTAAGTCTCGGCCGGGCCGGCCGCTCAAGTGCGCGGGGAAAATAAGTGTGAGCATTATTTATGCATCCCATCTTTTCATCTGTACATACTCATCATCCCCAGTCAAGTTTAGGTTGTGGGGCGCATACTCGAGTCAATAAAGGAGAGTCTTGAGTGTACTCGACGCCATCTTACAATATATTCAGCATCATTTTATGGCGTGTCACTCAATGAAAAAAATTCTACCACAGCCACCTTCCCTCCGCGTGGTTCGTATAAATTTGATTCCCATATACGTGGGATCTGGCGAACTTTTTTTTATGAACTGCTACGCATATTTCCGCCGCTTGAAGGTTCGCTTTTTTTTCTAAAGTGTTTACATATGAGTCGCTTTTGATCATGATTAGGTCTTTTTTGTACCGTGTTTTCTCTACTGCGCAGACGTCATGGTGTGTCACGTGACTTGGTTCTCTGCATGATAAAGGTGCAGGTTCTTCCAATAACCTTTAGTTGCGAGTTCAGTTGAGTCAAATAAAATTTTTGGACCCAATGGTTCTGCCTGGGGCTAGGCTGCCAGAAATCTACCGTTCTAGAAACATATTTCGAGGTCTTCGGGGATGGCGCTGGCACGCTGCACAGCCCACTCTTGGTATTCGGGATCTCCGCTGAGCAGGGCGGCTTCCCATAGTTGTGAGTTCGGCGCCTTGTCGTCTCTGCTTCAATACTTGTCTCTATTTCTGCGCTGTGTTTGCATCCTAAGCTTGGTCCAATAACTAGCCCAACTTTGTAGCGAGGAAGATAAATATTGGGACGACTGGGAACGAAACATGAGCATCGACGGAGCAACAATCCATATAATTTACACCACGCGATTCGAGCACACATTCAGTTCCTTCAAGAAACAGGACAGCCATCGCCACTGGCAAATGCGCTGTCCCGAAGAAGCTCTTAAGGTGCGTGAAAAAAAGAAGAATGAACAGCAATGGGAAGACTCATGTAAGACTGAAACACGCGCACGAATTGGTGAACCAGATGCCGGGGTGGCCGTCCGGTTTTGAAATGCAGCCAGAACTCAAGCTAAAAGTAGCCAAGGTATTCATCTTACTTAAGTTCATCGCCAAATTTGTAACCGTTACAGAAGTGGGTGAATAAGGAGGTAAATAAACAGAGTTTTCATCGTTGAAGCACAAATACTACTATTTTTGAAAAATTAAAAATGTAGTAATGAGAGCCCATTTTGTTCTGTCTCTTACTTGTTTGTCAAGCAAGTGCTGATGTTTGTTTTTTTAGTAGTAATGCTATTTTACTTTACTACGTATGAGCCTCATTATTTTATGCGCCCATTGTCTTTCTTACGTTAACTATACCATATTAGGACTACACTGCACCATTGCATGTATTCAGCCAACTTCGTATTTTATTTCTTTTATGTGTACTGTCCCTTCTGCAAGGGCCAAGTTGGCCTGCAGTATACTGAAACAAATGAATAATGAAATGATAAATATAAATAAGTCACGGGAAAGCAACGAATAAACGAATAAGTTGTTGTGAGTTTGGGGCATCTGTATAAAGTTCATGAATTTTAAATATAATTTATTTCGAATACAGAATAACCTAATTACGGACAATGAAAGCCAACAAGTCTGTAGGAACATTAAACGACGAAGTAGTTTTTTTTAACCTGCACGCAGCAATTCATTAGTAGAGCTTCCATGAAACTAGTTCAGCTTCAAATAGTAAAACCTGGTGAAGACAGACGGTCCTGCTTTATTCTCTTTTTGCGCATCTTTGTTTTTATCAGGTTTACATTAGAGCCGGCGCTCTGTGTCAGCATTGTAAACCGGTGCTAGTGTTAACGCATATGGTGAGCAGCTTTCTAGCCACGCATTTGCCAACATACTCCTGCGTCCCCACTTCGTCACTCCATCTATTGTTGCACACGACACGTTACTTTGGGGTGCCTCGGGAACGCCAGCTGCGGGCACGGTTGGGTTTCATGCGTACCCTACGACACGACAGAAAAGCTAGGAAACGGAGTATTGTAGCCACAAAATAACAAACATTGGAGACTCAATGCGAAAGAGTAGGGATTCAATGCAGACAAAGCGTAAAGCGTAGCCATCGCAGCAATATCAAACTATCGTCGCCAAACTGGTTCGTAAAGGATTGATTTATTATTTGTTTATTTAGTTTCTCTACACAGAAAACACAAGACACAGAGGCGATAGGAAGAGAACATGCTGACCGCTGTCGCTTATAGGGGCGCAACGTTATGTAGCCAATTTGGCGCAAAGTAGCCACCAATGACAGCCCAACCACGTGCACATCAGCAAGGGCCCATGGCTTTCTAATTAAGGTGGCCATCGGCAAAAGATGACTCGCGTACTTCTGAAACAAAATGTTCATTTTTCGCTGTTGCACTTGTCGTTCACTTGTTTCCCCACGGTACGTACAAAGGGTCTTCGGTAAGTCCTTGTTTGTCCAGTTTACGTAGGCAAGCGATGGCAAGAAGAGCCCATGGACGTGGATCAGGGAGAGGGAGGGGAGTGGAGGAGGAGTGCTGGCAACATAACGATGTACCTGAGAGTGACACGCAATTTATGATCAGTTTTGTGATGTGATTGAGATATCTATCAGCCGTTAAAGAATGACATTTTTTGCCTAATGAAAACCTGTTTCTAGCTGAACGGCTTCGTAGAAACAAAACCAAGGAAGATGTCTGAAGCCATCGCGCGATAAGTTTGTAAGTACAATGCTGGTGCCAGAAATTGTGATGATTACCATATTTTCGATGTGTGCTGTAGAATGGTATTTGCTTCCCTCGCACTTTCCTTATCTATGACCCTACATATCACGTACAACAGACACGGCTTGTTGAAAACCCTCGTTGAACTGAGTCGCGCATTCCCAGTTGTGCCGTTCGTGGTTAGAGGCTTTTGTTGAGGCGGTGAAATGTTATAAATGGTCCTCTGGCTGGTGTTGACACCATGGCTCGTGAGCCCATGTCCAGTTTTCCCTGAAGAAAATGAAAATGTCATACGGTAACTTTAGTACTCCCTACAAACCAAAAAACTAAGATTCATATCAAATTTTCGTTGGTTCTCTATTTCTTTAACTTCCTTGTTATATAAGCTTGATCTTGCCCCTTCAGTTTAAAAGAGCACCCATACACGCTCTAACGTGAACCCTCCATGCGCGCGCCCTCATGTGCATGTGCGCATGTATGTATGCATGTAGGCATGTATGTATGTATGTATGTATGTATGTATGTATGTATGTATGTATGTATGTATGTATGTATGTATGTATGTATGTATGTATGTATGTATGTATGTATGTATGCATGTATGTATGTATTGTTGCGCGTCGTGGCGACCGCAGTCTGCGGGTAGCGGGGCCGGTCGCCGTCGCTCCGTCGAGCCAAGGACTAGGGGAGAACTTTGAGCAAACTTAACGGATTTATTTACATCTTAACAGTGAGTTGTGGAGATGAAGACAGAAGAGAAGAGAGTTGGGCGAGGCGTTGCACGCCCTTTTTGTTGACCCCCGTTCCCTAGGTTCCCTAGGTTGGGGATCACGCACAAAACAATGCGGACCAATGGTGATGTGGAAGTTCCTCTCAGTGAAGTACCGCCCATCATGTATGTTCATAGAGGCATAACACTGGCTTGCACATACACACACACCCTTGCCACTAGTCGCAGCGCTGCCGTAGAACAGGGAGGGGGAGAGCGGAAGCCGCACGGGCGCCTCGACCCCTTTGGTGCCGGCCTCGCTCTGCGTTCCCACGGGAAGATCTTAGCGCGCCCTTTCGAGAGGTGCTAGGTTCGTGGAATCCTCTGGGGAGAGCCCTTTGACCAGCGCCGTCGTCGTCGGCTGGTTAACGCGCTAACGATGCGTGGCCCAGGCGGGAGATAGAGCGGCCGCTCCATAACCCTCTTTGGCAACATTCCACACAGTTGGCGCCGCTGTCAATCAGTGGGCGCCGTATCGTGTAGTCGACCCCTGTTGCTTCCTCCGTCCAGCCGTGGCGAGACTATCTATTTGGACCTAATCCGGCGTGGCGAGTGACCCGCTGGGTCAAGGCATAGTTTGATCGCTACAGCTCCTCCGCCGACGGGAAGATCTCGGACGTCGGGTAGTATCAGCTGCTCGACGGGAGAGATCACAGTAAGCGCAGTCTTCCAACACCATTGAAACCACAAAGACCAACCGCTAGAACCAGCAAGCGCCGGCAATGAGTTTTCGGCAACCAGGCTGGTCTTTCAAATGTGCCACAATGCACCTACGCTTTTTTTTTCTTAAATGGCAACCACACTAATACTCTTGCTCATAGCTAGAAACTTCGATTACTCAAAAGACCACTTAAAAGCATTACTGAAAAACGCCCCTCAACTGAACACAAAAGAAAGCAAAAGCAAAAGAAAAGCTAAAAAGCTCTGCTTAATGTGTCAACATTGGCGTTCGCGGAACCCTTCTTATACTTCACAGTGAAGTTAAGCTCCTGAAGCGCAAGGCTCCAACGTAGTAGTCGTGGATTCTTTCCCGACATTTGCGATAGCCATGTCAGTGGGCAGTGGTCAGTGACGAAGACAAAAGAAGTTCCGTAGAGGTAGCAGGCTAAATTTTGGGTAGCCCACACAATGCAGGCACATTCTTTTTCCGAAGCACTGTAGGCCTCCTCACGAACAGAGAGTTTCCTGCTGGCGTACAACACAGGGTGCTCGTTCCCGTTCTCATCCTCCTGACACAGTATTACTCCTAAGCCTCTGTTGCTGGCATCGATTGCACAATAAAGGGACGATCATAGTTCGGTGCATGCAGTACGGGTGAGCTAACAAGAGCCGCTTTGAGCCGCCGGAAGGCGCCCTACATTTCCGCACTCCAAACTACCTTTTCTGGAGCCTTCTTGCGCAGTGCATCCGTTAATGAAGCGGCTACCTCCGAGTACTGAGGGATGTAGCGCTGATAATACCCTGTCAGCCCTAAAAAGGAGCAGATAGCCGTCTTGCTTCCTGGTTGCGGGAACTCGCTAACCGCCTCTACTTTCAACTCGTCAGGTCGCCTCCTGCCATGCCCTACCACGTGCCCTAGGTACCGTACTTCGGCACGAGCTAGCTGGCACTTAGCCGGCTTCACTGTCAGTCCAGCGTGCGTCAAACATCTAAGGACATCGCTAAGATGGTACAGGTGAACTTCCCATGTATTGGAATAAATAGCGATGTCGGCTAAGTAGGGAACAGCGTAGCCTTCAGCCCCCTGCAAAACTCGGTTCATTAGCCATGAAAAGCAAAAGGGGGCGTTCTTAAGGCCAAAGCTCAGAACTAGGGGCCTAAATGTGCCCGTCGGCGCCACAAAGGCCGCATACTCACTAGCTCGTTTAGTCATTGGAACTTGCCAATAGCCTCTTACTAAGTCCAAAGTCGAGACGTATTTAGCGGTGCTCACTTTTTCCACCAGCTCCTCTACGTTGGGTATAGGATAGGTTTGGTCCTTCGTGATCGCGTTAAGTTTGCGGTAATCCACGCAAGGCCATGGATCCTTCCCCGGAACCTCAACGAGAATCATAGGGGACGTGCAGGTGCTTTCGCAAGGTTCGATAAGCTTAAGCTCGAGCATTCGATCTACTTCTTTTTTTCAAGATCTCCTGCTGTCGCGGGGCTAGCCTATACGGCCTCGACTTCACAGTGGTGTCAGAAGTTAGCTCAATGTCATGAGTGATAACCTCAGTTCGCCCTGGCCTTTCCGAGAAAACAGTGATGTGTTCTGACAACAAGTTGCGTAAGTCGCCTTTCTGCATCTCAGTCAAGCCCTCGGCCGGTGCTACGGCTTTCATGACATCGGTAACCTCCATTGATCTTCCAACCTCCACCAAGCCTGGAATTTCAGGTGTTAGCTCCTCCGTGCTGTTAAGAGCCAAGTTCACTTTCTGCACTTCTCCCCCATAACTCTTCATTAAATTGTGGTGGTAAATTACAACCTCTCGGCGTTTCCCTTTACGTTCCAGTGCGTAATTTGTGTCCGAGAGCTTCTTCACAGCCCGAAAGGGCCCCTCCCAATGAATCTCCAGCTTATTTGCTCGCGAGGGGCGCAAGACCATTACCTGATCGCCTTCCTGATAAGCTCTCAGTTTCGCGTTCCGATCATAGTACCTCTTGGCTCTACTTTGCGCCTCTCTCATGTTCGCCTCAGCAATGTCGCGAGCACACCACAGTCTTTCCAGTAATTCCAGAATGTACTCGACCACCGTAGGGTCGGTACTCTTCGACTCCCAGGTTTCGCGCAAAAGTCGCAGTGGAGACCTGAGCGTCCGTCTGTAAACCAGCTCCGCGGGGCTGAAACCCGTCTCTTCATGAGTGACCGATCTCAGCACAAACAGCATTGCCGGAAGACAAGCATCCCACTGACACTTTCTTTCAAAGATAAGGGCTCGCAGAACTCGTTTCATCACGGAATGACACTGCTCTACACTATTGGACTGCGGGTGTTACACGGAACTATGGATTATTTTCATTCCGCACTTTTCCAGGAATCCCGTATTGAGAACGCTGGTGAATACTGAGCCCTGGTCGCACTGTATCTCCTGAGGAAAGCCCACTCTCGAAAAAATAGACAGTAGTGCGTTGACTACCTCTACGGAGCTTTGCTCCTTCATTGGGATCGCCTCAGGAAATTTGGTTGCTGGACAAACGGCGGTAAGCAAATACCGGTAGCCTGACTTTGTCACTGGGAGTGGTCCCACAACGTCTATTACCAGCCGGCGAAATGGCTCCGAAATGAGCGGAACAAGCTTAAGTGGTGCCTTTCCCTTCTCGTGCGGTTTTCCCACTCTCTGGCAGGTGTCACACGCTCTTACGTGCTTCTCAACTTCTTTGAAGCATCCTAGCCAATAAAACTCCGTTAGGAGCCTATCTTTGGTCTTCCGAGCTCCTAAATGCCCCGACCAACCAACTCCGTGACAGAGATCCACAATGTCAGGCCGATACTTAGCCGGCACTACAATCTGGTCGAACGTGCGACCTTTTGCAGTCCGGTAGTGGCGGTACAAGATGCCATTTTTGACAGGAAAACTGACATTCTTCCTCGCCACCCCTTCCCTGACGATGTTCCAAATCTCCTTAAGGCTGGGATCGCTTTTTGCTGCTCGATGAGCTCGTCTCTTGTCACTTTCCCCAGTACATTGCTTAGTGCTTTTGATACCGGCAACACGAGCAGCCCCTCCTCCGATTCCCTTTCCGCTGTATCAGCGCTAGTCTGCTTCTCTGACCCCTCTCTTTCTTTTTTCAGTAGGCGACAGGATAGCAGGCTCCGCTGCGCTGACTCCAGCTGGTGTTGCTGGACTTCTGGTGAAACTCGGTTCTTGCCGCTCTAGTTCGGCTGCTAACGCTCGTGCTTTAGCTCGTGTCAAGGCTTGTACTGTTCCCTCGTGAAAACTTTTCCCTTGTTCTCTCAGCAGACGGTCGGTCCAATTCGAGAACAAATAGGGGTACTGCGGGGGCAGCTTATCTGACACCGCCGCTTCCATCTCCACTTCTCCGAACGGCCCTGTGAGGATTACTCGAGCTACCGGGAGACAAATGCTTCCATCTTCCAAAACTGGTTTAATCCATGCGCACTTGCCGTTGTAGTCTGCTTGTGTCACATAGTCCGGGTGCACCTGATTCATGGTTGCCCCACTGTCTCGTAAGACGCGGCATGGCTTTCCGTTCACTGTTAGGTTAAAAAGGTACGGACTAAGAAGCTCCTCGCTAGTGGCTGAGTCAGAAGTGTACGAAAGGGCTGGCCTGGGCCTACGACAGCCTACGGCAATATGCCCTTCCTTCATGCATTTGTAGCAAGTAGGTGGTTTCCGAGCCTCAAAAGGACTCTTTTTGGAAGAATCCCCCGAAACCTTTCCCTCCTGTTTGTTTTGTGATCCTTGACCACTTGCAGCGAAGTCCGTCTTTTTCTGTGCAGTCGTACCTGCGCCAGCTCCCTGCTTCGCCGTCCAAGGTTTCCCTTTATCTCCCGCTTTTGTTCGAGGAACCTCGTCTCTTTCTCCCCGGCGTGACGCGTACTCGTCAGCCAAGTCGGCCGCTGCCTGTATTGTTTTTAGGCCGGCTCTATCTTAAATCCAGAGCTTCATTGGCTCGGAAAGTTCTGAAAAAAAACTGTTCGAGAGCCACTACTTCGAAAGCCATTTCGAAGTTCCCAAAAGCGTTGGCTCCTTTCATCCATTCTACTAAGTTGACCTTCAACTCGTAGGCAAACTCAGAATACGTGCTGCCCTGCTTCTTTGTCAGATTGCGAAACCGTTGGCGGAACGCGTCTGGCGAAAGTCGGAACCTCTTTAGAAGGCTATCCTTCACTTTGTCATAGTTGTCCGCATCCTCCACCGGAAGCCGCACGATTACATCCGCTGCTTCACATGGCAGCTACCTTAACAAATTTCGAGCCCATGTGCAACGACCAAGCTTCGATTTTTCACAGGTTCTCTCAAAGTTCACAAGAAAGAGGCCCACATCTTGCCCTACTTTGAAGGGTTGCATTAGTTTAATAAATCACAAGATTTTGTCTGCCTTCTACCTCCACTTCCTTGGACCCCTGCAATCTTCTCATTCCACGTCGAGTCGCAACTGTTCTATCTCCAGTTCTTTTGCCTTAGCTGGACGCTCCTGTTCGCTCCGCCTTTTTCTTGGCGTTCCTGTTCCTGCTCGCCTTTCCTGACGCTCCTGTTCCTCACGCCTTTCCTGACGCTCTGTTCCTGTCGCCTTTCCTGACGCTCCTGTTTCCTCGACGCTTTTTCTCGCGCTCCTGTTCCTGTTGCGTTTGAATCTCGTTCCACAGTTTCTTTAATATCTTCACTGCTCAAGATTCAAGCCATCCATAGCGCTAACAATTGCGTCTTTCTTCATCCCGCATCTACTTCTGCTTCCCAGCTCCTCCCCCAGAATCAGGAGCTGATTCTTCAACAAACGCTTCCAATCCATGACAGAGAACTAGTGTGGTGCAGCTCACTCTCTACCCAGAAGTTCCGTAAATAACTGCTTCTGTGGTAGCCTCTACCAGCGAAAAGATTGCACTTCTATCTTATCAGCCTGGCAACCAAAAAACCAAAGCCAGCACTCACCAGTCCACAGCTGCCAGTCTCCATGATCTCGGCGTGTTGTTCATTCTCCGTCCTCCAGGCTCACATCCAACCGCTTGCCATCCAGTTGTAGCGCGTCGTGACGACCGGAGTCTGCGGGTAGCGGGGCCGGTCGCCGTCGCTCCGTCGAGCCAAGGACTAGGGGAGAGCTTTGAGCAAACTTAACGGATTTATTTACATCATTACAGTGAGTTGTCGAGATGAAGACAGAAGAGAAGAGAGTTGGGCGAGGCGCTGCACGCCCTTTTTGTTGACCCCCGTTCCCTAGGTCCCTAGGTTGGGGATCACTCACAAAACAATGCGGACCAATGGTGATGTGGAAGTTCCTCTCAGTGAAGTACCGCCCGCCATGTATGTTCATAGAGGCACAACACTGGCTTGCACATACACACACACCCTTGCCACTAGTCGCAGCGCTGCCGTAGAACAGGGAGGGAAAGAGCGGAAGCCACACGGGCGCCTCGACCCCTTTGGTGCCGGCCTCGCCCTGCGTTCCCACGGAAAGATCTTAGCGCGCCGTTTCGAGAGGTGCCAGGTTTGTGGAATCCTCTGGGGAGAGCCCTTTGACCAGCGCCGTCGTCGTCGGCTGGTTAACGCGCTAACGATGCGTGGCCCAGGCGGGAGATAGAGCGGCGGCTCCATAACCCTCTTAAGCAAGATTCCACACAGTTGGCGCCGCTGTCAATCAGTGGGCGCCGTCTCGTGTAGTCGGCCCCTGTTGCTTCCTCCGTCCAGCCGTGGCGAGACTATCCTTTTGGCCCTAATCCGGCGTGGCGAATGACCAGCTGGGTGAAGGCATAGCTTGATCGCTACAGTATGTATGTATGTATGTATGTATGTATGTATGTATGTATGTATGTATGTATGTATGTATGTATGTATGTATGTATGTATGTATGTATGTATGTGTGTGTGTGTGTATGTATGTATGTATGTATGTATGTATGTATGTATGTATGTATGTATGTATGTATGTATGTATGTATGTATGTATGTATGTATGCACAGGCGCGAGCAAAAGTTTACAGACCATGAGATCGCGTGGCCGAAGGCATCGACGGGCCATCAAGCGACCAGATGCCTGCCACGGTGCGCATTGCATCGCTTGGTTCCTCATGTCACTTTCTCTGAAGCGGTTAAGGCGATTGTAGCCAAAATAACTGGGTGTCGATTTCTTTGCTCCATCGAATTGGTGCTGTTTTTTTTTATGCAACGGATGCTACGGGGTAGGTTCCAGCCGGTTCGCGCCGTTATTTATACCTGTTCATTAGCCCAATTACGCCTGTCTAGCATCGCGAAACCCAATGAAGCCAAGCACAAAAGAATGAGTAGCAGTGCCAGCCGCAGCTTAAAACCATGATCTCTCCTTGTATGTAGCGACGAGCGCTGTATTGTGCATTAGACCAGACGCTTAGTTCTCACCATCTGGGATGGGCCGAGCTCCAGGCGGAACTTTAGCAACACTTTGGCCATCGTGTATTTTGTCTGCAACGTAGCGATTCTCACTCCGACGCAGTTGCGGGGCCCTATGCCGAAGGGACAAAACGCCATCTTCTTTATTTTTGCTTCATTTTCTGGGTTGAATCTGCGATTAGGACAAAGCGATAGACATTGTCATTGCCATTGCACTTACACGTGTGCCAAACGAGTGCCAGTAAATGATAATGCGTTTGCTGCAACGGTGACCAAGACGAATCGACGATATCGTCTGCTCTCTTAACTCTATACTGCTGTGTTCAATTTCTAAAGACAGTGTGACGAACAGACGTTGCATCTCTACGGATGTCTGTGCCATGACGGTGGCCGGAGTTTTACGGCAGATTATATTACGACTGTTTCAGAGGGGGTTTCAGTAATACTAGCGCCTTGTAGCACTTCATTAGATTCTGCGAAACTGCATACTATGGAGATTGCATTTTCGACCAAGAGCTTGTATGCATAGTATAAGTCAACGCTTTCCAGCTTGAGCAATTCACAATTGTCCCGCGGTACTGGCTTTCACAATTCTTTCTTGCTTTGGGAGAGCGCGGTTCATTGGCATAGCTAAATAGGAAGGTATATCTAATAGAGTTTCCTAAAATTAACTAGAGGGGACTCTGTCGCTGCGATCGTTCAGCGACCATGGGAATTATGGGTAGTACACACATTCGCCTAGTCTTCGTACTTGCAGGTGGCGAATCTTACTTGCGGCTTCGTTTATTGCTGTGTTTTGGTTTTCTTTTGGAAAATTGAACCCGTTTGAACTTCGTGACACGATTTTGAAAGGTAAGTTTAAAAAATAAGGTCGTGAAGCGCAACCGCTGAACATTTGCTGATTTTTGTTTCGTGAGAAAACAACTCTAAGCCACATGAACACACACGGAGCCAGAAGCAGGCCAGAAGTATGAAGATTAGACAAATGTGTGTACTACCCATCATTCCCATGCTCGCTGAAGCGCCGTGCGTAGCAGCTCCCATAGACACCTAGCGCCAGAGTTCCCTCTAGGGTATATTCGGAAACTCTATGATTTCTCTCTCTTTATCTTTTCATTTCTCATTCACTTTCCCTGGTGTAGGATAGCATACCGGATGCTAGCTTGTTTGCTTGCTTGCTCCTCCTCTGTTCTGGCTCTTACCCACTAAACGGGATTGGCCGAGAAGCTGGAGGTAAATGTAAGTGAAAAATTAAGCGCTATGCATGCGTTAACCTCCTTCCTCCTCCTTCAACCCACCCCGGTATGTTTATGTTATGGCGTGTATACGCACAGGCACGCATAAAACCGAATGCACGAACATGCCTACATGATGGTTGACCATGCTCTTTTCTTCCCCCCTCCCCCCCCCAAAAAAAAATATTAGCTACGCCCCTGGCGTGATCAGTCCAGTCTCTGATCCTCACCTCTCCGGGTCGAACTCCAATGGATTAGACCAAAACCGTGGGTCGCGTTGAATATAGTACTGAGGAACCATGAAGCAGGTTCCGGCCTTGAACTTTAACCCTTTGTATTCGAAGTCTTCCTTGGCCTGCCTGGTGACAAACCTAGAACCCGCACAAAGAAAATAATACACCATGCATGGCCAACAATGAACATCCGAAAATACTGCCGAGCAGGGAGACATATATATATATATATATATATATATATATATATATATATATATATATATATATATATATATATATATATATATATATATATATATAAGTTTGCACACGTTCTATTAGATAAGTCAATTACGCACTAGAAAATTGGTCAGAATAGCACTTTATAGAACGTAGAGCCCATTGGAAGTCTATGGGAGCCTATAAAAGTCTGTTGTAGAGAGTTTCATATCATATTTCTTGAAAGGAAATGTCTAACAAACTGATAAACCCATTCGAACAAGAGCTCGCTTGTTGTTGCTTGTCGCTGCGTATATCAATATGTAGCAATTTATATCATTTTTATGGAGTCTATGAAATAATTTAAACACACATACATGAAAGAAAAGATACGGCCGGCGCCGAGCTATTCGCCGTTTAGGCGTTTTTGTCAATTGAACACAATCTGTAGACCACCTATATTTCTTTCGTGTTAATTTTGGTGCTTGTACACCAATTTTTCAAGCTTTCTTTTGCACATCGAACGCTGCACAATTCTCGTTATCTTACTCATTGTCACGCAATAGATATTATGACAATGATACAAGACGTCTGCAGTGTTGTAGAGTGACAAAGGAAAAAACTTTCTCATTCCAATCTCCCATTATATGTATCAATACGTATCATCTCATGTTAGCGTGTCTTCTCGTCGACTCCGCCTGCAGATGGTGTTTTCAGTCGGCGCACGTGAATAGGCTGCTTCAATACTCACGTGAGACCTGGAGGACAAAGTCGCAGCGTTTCGTTCATGACTTGGTCCAGGTAATTGAGTTTCTTCATTACTGTATCGTAATCCAATTCACCCTGTTAGCACGTTGCAGGGAAATAAGAATAGCAAAATTCGACATACTTAAATATAGGCGCTCATTCACAGTAAAGCACAAAGCTTTTGAGCTCATAATTTTTTCGAGCTCCTACTGATTAGGACTCTATTCTGACTGTATAGAAAATTTCACGCGCTAAAACCATGATAATATTTCTAAAGCCGCCGTAGTGGAGGGCTTCGGAAGTTTTCACCATCTGGTGTTTTCGGCGTGCACTGACCCCGCCCAGTAGACGGGCTTCTACCTTCTTGCCTCCATTGAAATGCGACTAAAATGCTCAGAATCAAACCCGTGACCTTGAGTTCAACATCCAAGCGCAATAAATACCCCACGACAGCATCTGTTGTAGAAAACAGATTGAAGATGGAGCTCGGAGGCGAGGAAGAAGAAGTAGCCAGGGGCACGTGTTCTGTCAACAATAAACCGAAAACGTATTGGTTCTGCGGTCTCTCTGGTCCTTCTGAAACATGGTGCCGTGACCAGGATGATCTGAAGACAGACGCATAGACTTCAACCCCATTCGCAACAACAGGTTGAAGAACGAAGCAGCGGCGTCTGGCTCAAGGACGAACCGTCGAGAGAAGGACCACGACCGACGACTGTTGGCGACGCAAATAAACAGGCAAAAGCTCTTTCAACACGTTAAGCATGAATAAAGAGGTCCTATCAAAGAAGCTGAAGACGCTTCGAGCAAATGTGACGACGCTTACGAGCGAAATTGATAAGAAGATAGAAGAAGACGCCGATCGAGCGCAACTTATGACGCTTCTGAACCAGATGAAGAGCGTGTCACAGACGCTAGGACAAGTTAACGAATAGATAGAACCGTTCATTGAAGAAGACGACGCGGAGGCAGAATTTGAAAGAGTTTTGCATTATGAGATGAAGATCGTCGCTGCAACGACAAAAATAGAGGAGCGATTACGCGAGTTAGAACAAGCGACGCAACTGACTACGAGAATAGTCACAGAACAGGCGAGTTCAGTGCAAGGTACTAACCAAATCTCGGAGACGCAAGAGCTTGTTGAGTTGCCACGCCTTGAAATGATCAAGTTTGATGGGAAAAAAACAGCATGGCCAAGGTTTTGGCATCAGTTCGAGACATCGGTGCATAACAGAGCGAACATGCCGAAGAATCAAAAATTTAATTACCTTCTGGCGTCTCTGAGCGGGGAGGCTGCGTCCCTCATAGAAGGTTTGCAGTTTTCTGATCAGAATTAGGAGCATGCAGTCACTCTTCTGAAAGAATTTTCGGACGAAAAGATAATTTAAGAGAGACCTACATAAAAGAGCTTGCAAACTTGGAAGCAGTGAAGAGTTCTAAAGATGTAGATGGGTTGAAGAAACTCTTCCAAAAGTTGCAAGTGAACACACGAGCATTGCAGTCATTAGGAGTGGAAATGGGTAGTTACGCCACAGTGATAGCTCCTGTTGTAAAATCTGCGCTACCGGCGGTGGATATGAGGATTCAGATGAAGATAAAGGAGTTAAAGAAAGGTGACAACAGACCAGCAACTACGGAATCGGACTCAGCGTCAAGAGACAGCACGAGCAGTTTGAAAGAAATTATGGAGTTTTTAAACATATATATACGCAGCAGAGAAGAAACTCGAGAGGAAAAATACGACGTTACCCAGTCACCGCACAGTATGAGGAGGACTAGAACATCTGCGCTTCAAAGCACCTCGACGAAAAAATGCATCTTCTGTGAGATGACTGGACACTACACGGAAGATTGCAGAAGAAGCATTAGTATGCAACAGAAGAAAGAAGCCTTGCAACGGGAACGAAGGTGCTTCAGATGCACCAGACCTCACCACACGGCGAAGATATGCCGCGCTAACGCACGCTGCAAAACATGCAAGGGAAGGCACGCGACATCCATGTGTCGGCCACATACGCGTGCAGGAAAGTCAGCACAGCAGCAAAGCGGTAATGATGTTGAGCAAGTGCACTAAAAGCGCGCAACCTGACCGGTTAGACACCAGCAAGTCCTGCAACATGCACGCACAGCAGTCTGATGAACACTGCAGACAGCCTTTTCGTGAACGGAGGGAGAAGACAGCGTGTGCTACGCACGGATTCTGCTGGACAACGGGAGTCAGTGGACATTCATCCTCAAAAGATTGTCAAGAAAATTAGCGTGCAAGGTAAAAAGATCCGAAAGGATTACTGTAGGATCAGTTTGGAGGAGGAGAGATGGAACTAGACGTGAAAGTCGTCGAGGTCAGCGTGAGGAAGGATCCCATCTTGGAGCAAGTCACGATTCAGGCACTGGAGATAGAAGTTATATCCTGTGACGTGCTACCATCGCCACCGTTGACAATACACGAAAGAGCAAGATCGATGGGAATTTGTTTGGCTGATGACAACGAGAATACGGACAAAGAAAGAAAAAATATGGAAACTTCTATATTAATTGGAGCAGATTATTACTGGACTGTAGTCACTGGTCGCATTTGCGAGATTCATCCAAAAGTAATGGCAATAGAAACACTATTGGGATGGAACGGTCCAAGATCCTGTAGGAACTTCATTGTGGGCCGATGAAATCATCGATGGTTATGATATTTAAGGTCAGTACCAAGTCGGACGCAACTGTGGACGAACTGCAGAGATTCTGGGACGTTGAAAACATGGGCATCAAGGAGAAACCAGCAACAAAGATGAGTGATGAACATGTGCTAGAGTACGTCCGACAAACAATGGAGTTCAAGGCAGGAAGATACCAAGCACGGCTACCATGGAAGGAAAACGTGACATTGGACGACAACAACACCATTGCAGAGAAGAGGCTTATCCAGGTGACCAACAGTGAATTATGGTGGAAAGGCGCCACGTGGATCAAGAATGAAAAACAAAGGCCTGAGTATGACATCACGCAAGAATCGGACAGTGATGACAACAAAGACGAAGAAAAGACAGTGACATGCTTAACTACCACCACGAGTGAAGAAAAGATAATTGATGTGAGCAGAATTGGATCATACAAGAAAGCATTCTGAGTTACCGAGTGGGTGATGCGTTATATACGAAACCGACGAAAAGAAAGGAAAACAGGTTCGCTGACAGGAGAAGAATTGGACAAGGCAGAGTTTGTGTTGATAAAGCAGGAGCAGAAAACGCTACAAAATGCAGTGACACGAATATATGACAACATGAATCTGTACGGCACGAACATCTTCGAAGATGATCAAGGTGTCCTAAGAGTAAAAGGGAGGCTTCAGTGGAGTGATTTGAGCTTTGATGAGAAGCATCCTATTATTTTACCAAGAGAAGGTCACTTTTCAGAACTCCTAGTTCTGAACGCGCATCAAGTAACAATGCACGGTGGCGTTGCGGTCAACATTGACACATCTAAGAACGAAGTTTTGGATTGTGCGTGCCCGACAGATGGTGAAATATGTGATCAAGAAATGCATCACATGTAGGAGATTCAATTCTAGACCAATGGCACAAGAAATTCCAACACTACCAGCTGACAGGATTACATAGACGAGGCCATTCGACACAGTTGGTATAGACTTTGCTGGACCGCTAAATGCTCGAAGAGGAGAAAGGCGAAAAAATTACAAAGTTTTACATTGTGATATTTACGTGTGCAGTAACAAGAGCCATACAAATGGAGTTGGTCAAGAGGATGTCTTCAGAAGCGTTTATACAAGCATTCCGAAGATTCGTAGCTAGAAGAGGATTGTGTACAACTATTTACAGTGATAATGCAAGAGCATTCAAGAAATCTGAGAAAGAGATGAACAAGATATTAAAGATGGAAGATGAAAAGGTTCAACAGTATACCAGTAACCTGAAAATAAAATGGAAGTTTATTGTAGAGTTAGCTCCATGGTGGGGAGAATTTTATGAAAGACTGATCAGAAGCTTTAAGACATCCATGGCAAAAACTATAGGTGCTCGACTTTTGGATGAAGAAGAACTACGGACTGTGGTTGTTGAAGCAGAAGGAGTACTTAACAACCGGCCTCTTATGTGTATGACGATCCTAACGAGCCACAACCCATCACACCGGCGGACGTTATAGGAGGCAGGCAAGCCATGAACAAGCCGAGAGAAAACAGACTCAAAGAATACAGTTTGCTGAATTACTGGAGTGCAAGAAAACAGGCAGTGATAACATGGTGGACCAGATGGAAAAAGAAGTACCTGAGGGAGCTTAAGTGTGCCAGCAGAAAAACAGAGCGTCACGCAAATGTACAAGAAGGAGATGTGCTTCTGCTTGGAGAAGCGCGAAAAAGAACTCGGTGGAAACTCTGCAAGGTCGAAAAGATTTTCCCAGGCAAGGATGGACTAGTGAGAACATGCTTGCTTCGTACACCTGAAGGAAAATTAGTCAAGAGGCTGATTCAACTGTTGTATTCGCTCGAAGATTGCTTCGGTTGAATCTGGCCGGCGGGAAGATGTAGAAAACAGATTGAAGATGGAGCTCGGAGGCGAGGAAGAAGAAGTAGCCAGGGGCACGCTCTGCATTTTTTTTTCCTGTTCTGTCAACAATAAACCGAAGACATATTGGTTCTGCAGGTCTCTCTGGTCCTTCTGAAACATCTGTTCTTCATCTAGGTGAAGGGAAATGTTGCAGGAAAAATGCATGCAACCTCGTGATAATTGCGTACACCTGAGGGTGCTCTGGTCGTTGATGTCCTAAGCATGATGCTCTAATCAAAAGGAATTCCTACATTTGTAATTTCGAAATATGTGCTTATAGTCACTAAGAAGCAAAGAATAAATAAAGCCTAAACACGAGACTGCTGAGACAGGGGTTCAAAGTTTACACAATGGTAGCCCGGACTACCATTTACTTAACTTCAGCATTATACTATCAACTTTGTGTCGGCTCACGTTTTTATGCTCACGTCTACTAAGACATATTCCATCGCACAAGCAGTCATACGCCAGCTCGGTATTTATTTATCAGAGGCGTTAGTGGGAGAAGGAGGGTGGCTGAGAGGGCTAGCGTGCCTTGACCTCTTCCCGCCTCCCCTCCCACCGGAGCTCTTTAACGGCCAGTTCTTGATAAAAACATATCGTGTGAGTCGTCAGTTTCACTAAAAATTGCTATTGCAAAAAAAAGTTCTTACTCGATTTCAACCACTGTTAACTCGTATTTGAAGATGCGAGATCGAAAGGCGCCTCGCGGAGCATTGCTTACGTGACATATTGGTGTTATAGGTATTGACACCATTGTCGAAAAGCTAATTATACGCTCATTCATGAGTACGCTCACTCAGACTCAGTCATTTTCAGATCGAGTCTTGGGGCTGAGTGTCAGTGAGTCTAAGTGGGTAATAAATACTTTGGTGCATTAGACCTGAGTGAGCCTGGTTGGGGAAAATCTAGGTGAGTCGGGCTCTAAGTGAACGCTAAACGCCAATCATATCTCTTGAGTGAGACTGACTGAGCTTTACGTTTCTTATTGTATGACAATGACAGGCTACGTAAGAAAGAAGGAACGTGTAAAAACTATCTTTTGTCCGGCAACAATAATCATCATCTGGTTTGCTCGCGATTTCTTTCTTGAAATCTCGGTGGCCGCCATTTTTCTATCAAGGATCTCACGTCACGTTGAGAGAAAGAGAGAGAGAAAGAAGGGAGAGGGAACGTAGGGAGGTGAACCAAGCTTTGGCTCGGTTGGTCCTCAAGAAGAAAAAGAGAGTTTTCGTGTCCTTGCGCATATGCGAGACTATAAGGCCAAGGTCCTAGGATGTCACGCTGACAACGCTAATGCCGTTTAGTACCTGGAAGTGACTGATGTGTGATGATAACGAAAGAAAAAGCACGAGGAAGAGATAACGCTTACTACTTCGGGACGAAAATGCATTCATTTGACTGGTTCATTTTTTTTTTTTAGACAGTAACTCATGATTGCGGTGACTTATTATATACATGTTTGCACAGCGCAACTGAAACGGGAACAGAGGAGGGGACACAATACAGAAGACGCGTTCTGTCCCTTACCCTGTCACCATTCTCGTTGCACTGTGCAAACGTGTCGGTAGAGGCACGGCGTCGTCTACACGTTAGAAGGATAGTTGCAGCAAAACTCCGTTGGGAAGTAACGAACAGCGTCAGTTGACACACCCTCCTCTCGCTTACCCCTTGTGAGATGAGATCTTCGATTTCCTGGCGCGCCTTCTCTTGGACGTCCGGATATTTCGCCATAGTAAACGTGAGGTAACTAAGGGAAGTGACTATCGTTTCGTACCTGCGTTGAAGAGCAGATCATGTCAGTGCTTTGTTTTCTGTATTAGAAATTTTGTTGATGCCATAACCAAATAAATATATCCTGAATTTATTTTGCATTACCACAATAGTCGCTGAAGTTAAATTTTTGTTGGGTGGAATTGCCTGTATTTCTGCGGGCTGTCTTTCAATGGACTCGTTTCAATGACAATCATTACAGTCACTGGTCGCTGAAAAATCCTGCTTTATCCCTGCCATTACCAGTTTCGTTTTGAGATAAAGCAATCGACTGAACGAGACCCGGTTGTTCAACGCATTTGTCTTACAATGCGGATCCTTACGTCTTGCAAGAAATCTTATCCCCGATAATACGACATATCGCATTGCCAAGCTTGAAGCAGGATTACTAAGAGTATAACACATTGCCGAACGCTTTTTTAACACTAAAGCGTTTTATACCGGGGTCTACTAACACTGCATTGACATATATCTGTCACGGAAATGACGTCAAAAACATGACTGCGTGCCAACACTTGCACATGACCACATACATGACCACACTGACTGAGATTGCCGCACTGACAACGCCACATGACTACAACACGAGAAATGATTGGATGGAGACATGCCAGGCTCCTCAAAGGTACGCAATTCGTAAGGAATGCAGGCATAGAGATGCACCACCACACTCATCACCCTGCAGTGTAAGAAGGCGAACATACGAGAACATCTGTCGAGAATCAAGAAACTGTGAAGGCACGAGTACAGCAACCATCAATGCAGGTGACTTCTCCTGTGCTTTGAGATGCACGCTATTTCATAAAGCACCATGCATGCCAATTTGTCATTGTTGACGAGCATGTGTGTGTAACCCACGTTAGTGTCGTTATAACAAACTGGGTGTTATTCTTGACTTACCCAGCGATGAACAGCGTGGCAGCGCTGGTTATTACTTCTTCTGTCGTTAAGGATCTTGTTTTGAGAATTCCTTAATGTTAAAGAAACTTCACATAAGAAATACGTTTCAGATAAAACATGAAAACATTCACACCTAATGTTTAACTTTTCACAACATATATATGTGTCTCACATTGCCATTCGCAGAAAAAAAACCCCGCACGATCTAGTGCTGTAACGTCATTAGAGGCTGAATTATAAGTGATTAATATATATATATGCATAATTTATGCCAACTGCTGTTAAAGCGCGACTTCATACACGCGACTGTGCTAACGTAGAGAAATAGAAAGGGTTTGTTGGGTGAAAAAAAAAAACTTAGAGGTTGGCCAGAATAAATTGTCGGGCCAACTAGTTAGCGCTAGGGAAGGCTAATAGAATTTAGCCCTGTACTCATTGAGGAACCTCACCCTGATGAAGAGATGAGTAAAAGTTAGCACACAAGTGACAACTAATAAATTTTCTTGTGACAAAGTTTTTCTTGCCTTGAGTAAAGTTTGTAACAATGAATCCAACCTAAATAATCCTATTATCAATATTAACTCGCTGACCAACCACCAACATTGTACGTAGTGATGTGACAACCAGAACTCTGACCTAAAACATTCCGGGCTTATAAGTACAGTTAAAGCACGTTGAAATGTTGCCCAGAATTATGTACACAAGTTACGTCGCGCTAGTCAAAGCTTCATTTCATATATCATTACTCTGCGTATTTATAAAGTTCACCTTAACTAATAATAACAACTGGTAGGGTTTAGCGCCCGAAAACACGATATGATTTTGAGAGACGTTGAGGTGAAGGGCTCCGGAAATTTCGACCAAGTAAGGTTCTTTAACGTGCACCTAAATCAAAGTACGCAGACCTCTAGCATTCTTTGCCATCCATAGAAAATGTGGCCGCCGCCACCTTGATTCAATCTCGCGATGAGCGGGCCAGCCGTCTTGCGCCCCAACCAGTTTATCAGGGTGGCGCTTACGTTTCAGAAATATACTATAGAGTGTCTATTCAGAGCTTGTTTAGGTGGCAGCCGGTATTCTGCTCAGACTACACTCGCGGACAACTTTTGTTGGCAATGGTGGTAATGCTACGGAGTTGACCTGGTCGTGTGCCACCGCTCAAGTATATTGGCCGCGAGGGCCTCCACTAGAGAGGCCAGTGCTGCGATTGTTTTGACGTCACAGATAGGATGCGTAGTTGTGGAATACGGCAGCTTTGCTTTCGCGACACCACTTTCATTGTTCCCCGTGGCTGCACCGGTGCTTAGTCGCAATTTTACGATGCAAATTAAACACAAGAGTGCCACCAAGAGCACCGATTCGTAGTTTGCGGGCCCGTATTATCAGGTCTTACCACTTCTTTAGGCACTGAGTTTCAAAACGAAGGTAAACACGCATGGTGTCCACAGCGAAAGCGTGGGAAATGCGGTGCTCTAGCAGACAAAGTGAACCCGGCATCCTATGAGTGACGTCATCACGTAGGTGGCGCCACGGTATGTCCTCGAAACCAATAGTCTCACGATTGCGTCCATGTTTTCTGCGTGAATATCGTAAAAACGTCGCTTCATATTTTTATATAATTCTGTTGATGAAAAGACAAAGCACGCACCAAGGAGCTATTGATATTTGTTTTACTTTGTGCGGTGTCATTTCGCGATTTCGCATGCGTTAAAGCATGGCACGTTTAACACAGGTGAAATGACGTCTTACCCCCGTATTCACAAACGCTTCTCCACTCGACTTCCACCCTTCACTTGACAGAGTTGAGCACAGCGCCACCACTCGGCAGAAAATGACGCTGCGATGCTCAAGAATCCCAGCAGACTATAGCCGATATGCAGTGACTTGCCGCTCTTATAGACGGCGCTTCCATCGGCTTTCTCTAGTGCAGGTGAAGCGTTGAGTGAAGGGACGTTCTAGAATACGTAAATTATAGTCTCCAGCTGAGCGCTCGTCGCTCTCCAGATTTTCCGACCACTCGCCAAAGGAGCTTGTGACGAATTTCGCTTACAAATAGCTGTCTTAGAACACGGAGTGATTTGTATGCAGTGTTGTTATTCGAACACAGCCGTCATTTGAAACGCGAGCTGAACCGGACTATACTTCGTGGAAGATTACATGTTGAGTACAGTAGCTCTGCTCCCGTAGGCTTCCCTTCGTTGCCAAGACAAGTTGTCTGCTAGTGTAGTGGCAGGCAATTTTCATGCTTCCTTGCGTCAATGGCATTTGTCGCACTAATACAGGTTCTGAATAGTTTATTTTTCGCAATTACTCATTTACCTTGTGCCGCAAGGTGAAGGCCTCGCTAGTTTATCGCTTCGGGCTCAATTCATAAACAGCTTAGCTTGCGAAACTCACCATTTTCCCCTTTGCCTGAGTCGGCGCCGGTTTGGCTCTCGACGTACTCTGCATCGATCAAGTTTTGCAATATATCCGGCTTCCGGAGCTACAGTGATTAAAGAGAAGAGACGAGGTATTGCGATGAGAATTACCTTATAAGCAGATCTGCACATTCGCAACTCGCGAGGAAGTTTGTGCAATTTTTTTTTTGATGCCGTGGCTTACGACGATGAAGAATTATGCCTGAAGCTTTTGTAACGTGGGTGCAGAGAGAAAGACAAAGCGAGCGGGTGGGTGGGTGGGCGGGTGAAGGGAATTGAGAATTCGACAACCCACTCAATACGCAGCTAGCATTGTGTGACGCCTCCTTGTTCATTTGCAGTTCTAAAACGCTTTAAGCGCAATTTTTTCCTCGACATCAAGCCTGTCTAAGGTCAGTCCACAATTTAGTTTCAAGCGCCGCCATTGGTTTGTGGTACAATACTAAACTGGCACGCAAGGGAACTAAGGGAACTATAGGCTGGAATCATAGTGTGTCCTTAGTGTTTTTATTTACATTTTTACATTTACATTAGTTTTTTTTTTTTTATTTCGTGGTATAGTGGTTACGGACACTGGCGGCGGCGGCGGACAACTACGGTGCACGCGACTCTTGTTGTTATCTCATAACGGCTTTCATTGTAAAAGAAAGCAAAGACGGCGCTATGCGTTGCCCTTGAAATCAAGTCCTTCCCTGGACGGGCTGCATACAACTGTAAGAACAAGAATAAACAGGCTCTCTAGCTGCAGTTAGTCTTTATAGTTGGTTTTGGAAACTGGCGCCCCACTTTTCAAGACACATTTGGCTTTTTTTTTTCTTTTTCAAAGGACGTGATTGTCCAGCTGGGCCACAAGCTAGCAGTTTTTTATTGATTGTCTCCCTCTCCGCCGTCGTTTGGTCACACAAACGTCGAAGCCTCAAAAAACGCGACACTTGCATTTGAAAGCTTCATTGGCAGGCAAATCAAGTAGGCCCCAGAATTATTCTTAGGGCTACAGGTGTCAACTTTTTTTTTTCAGCCGTGGGAACGAAAAGTTTTACACGCAGTGAAGATGAAGCCAATCTAGTTAAATATAATACTCTGAGCTAGCCAAAGAATCTGTATCCTTTTGTAATTCACAACCTAACAAGCATATCCAGATCGCTTAGATCCTAATGCACCTGCCCTGCAGCGCAAAATGCTTTTACCGTGCTAAGAACTGGTACACAGCTACTGTATACGTATTTCTCGCTTTTTTTTTTTGTACACGACAATTCGCAATTAGCAACACGTGTGAGCGCTTTCTCCGCATGGCAGCGCCAAACGCATGAGCAAACACCTCATTTGTGTTTAGTCATATCAGAATTCATATTTCATTCTGCCGCACCACATAATATGTGGCCTATTTGGTGCGAACGCTGACGCATATACACAAATTGTCGGTGAAGCGCACAAATTTAGCTGTTCTTTTAGGGGCGAAGTTTCTTGTGCCGTGGGTCGTACGTCCCATGTTTGTAGTAGTAGCCACATCCCGTTCGGTCCTTAAAGTGTCCACTGAAAGGCGGTACTTATATATGATGAACATATGATAAAAGGATGCGAGATGGTGGCACTTAGAGTGTTCAATAGATGGACGGACGGACGGATGGACGGTCGGATGGACAGATAGACAGACGGACAGACAGGCAGGCAGGCAGGCGCACGCACGCACGGACGGACGCATGGACGGAAGCTGACTTCGCTTCACTCATCATCATTCGCTCCGTGGATATGCTGTGATTTTTTTTTCTTTCAGATAAGTTTTGCGTAAATAATCATTGTGCAATGTGTGTAAGCAACGCTCTTCTCTGCTTCACTATGGAAGTCTAAACTTGGTGAATCAATGGACAAATCTGTCGAATCCAAAAGCATCGCAAATATGGCTATTCACTCTTGATATGGTTACGGAGTAGACCAAGCAATCTGCTAGACTCTTCTTTATACGCCTCCAGCGATGACCTTTCTTTCTTTTTTTTTTCTTACCGATGGGTCCTTCTTTCTGAGCTCGACGACCTTTTCCGTGTGCGCCGTGACCGTGTCAAACACGAAGTCTCCGATTGCGACGGAAAGCCAGCAAACTATTTTGGTGATTGGTCCCAGGCTTGTAGTACTTTCTATGCAAAAGAGTGAAAAAATAAAATTGTCTAATAACATTGGTATTTATATATTGAAAACAAAACATAGAAACGAAGGCTACATTAGAGTCAGTTACGTTATTTGAAGCTAGCGGTACTTATTAAGAAAGACGAAGCCACACTAACATTTTTTCTTCAGTATTTTTTTAGTATTTCGTCGATATTTGAATATTATTGGGTGAAGGATTAAGGGGCAGAAATTGTTTTAAAGGGCAGGGGAACTCTGAATAGCTGTTTTTCTTTGATTCTGTCTAACCGAGCTTAAAGACGATGAATATAGATTTTGTCCTCGATATAGGTAGCAGCATCAGTGCAAAATTGTCCCATAAAAATGAATTCGCTCTATGTTTGTCTAAGAAAAAATCTAAGAAAAAATCTAAGAAAAAATACAAGCTCCACCACCAATAATGGGGCAACCGCGCCATTCGCCTGTGCGAGACAGCCTTGTTAGGTGGTTTCTATTCTAAAAGTAGGTACTTTTTGACTACTAATATAAGCACTATGCATATGTATGATTAAAAAAGATTGTCTTTCATACCTAAAATATATTGTTTGGTTGAGCAGTGATCTTATTGAAGTTTGACAGGAAGTTTAAGTTTCCGACCGAAAACCAGCTAGACGAACGTGTGTCTGCGGAAACCCACAAGGTGGCGGAAAGGTGATATCATGGCGTGCCCCTAGCTATCGGAATGTGCGCTTGGGTGAGGGGAGGGGGACATGCTGGTGAAAAAGGAAGCTGACAACAACCCGTTTGTAGCACGAAACCGCAAAGAGATCTGTTCCGTTTTCTCAGAAAGAAAGCTTCTTGCCGAAACATTTTTCCTGGTGTGGAGATTGAATCAGGGACTAACGCCTTTCTGGAGTGGTATTGCAGTATCGTTTGAGCTAATCAGGAAGCTAAGCTACCAATTCACCGGGCGAATGCATCGAAAATTCGAAACGAATGGAGTTACTTCATATCAGTTCGGCGCGAACCCGCTGAGTGGCGTAATGATTAAGTATAATTGACAAACACCAGTTTGTAGCAAGGAGACATAAGGATGATATGTGTTCACGTGCTTCGACTTGTCGATGAATTTACCGTCGCATTAGCTCAAATGGTAGAGTGACCACACCGGAATGGGGCTGGTCTCAGATTCGATCCCCGAACCAGGACGTTTTTTTTTTTTTGGCAAGTAAGAGGTTTTTTTCTCCGAGAAATTAACATAAACTTCTTTGTGGCTTCGTGCGGCAAATGGTGTGGTTGACAATTTCCCAATCTTCGCGCACGTGAGTGCGTGAGAAAACACCGAACTGAAAAAAATTCCACAGATCCCACGTACCTTGGGAATTGATGTTATACGAAGCATGCGTATCGAAGGTGACTATGTTGTGTTTTTTCTCTTGAGTGAAACATTATGAAGTGGTGCTAGAGAGATGTGCAAATGAATGCGCAGACATGCGTTGAACACGCGCATATTTGTTTTTATAAGACCAGTTGTTTACTGCTGCGAAACAATGAAAACAGCAGCATGAACATTAGCAACCGCTATGATATATTAGCAAAAGTTGATATGAAGCGCTGGTTCCCTTTAGGATGGTAGCCCTGGACATGGTATGTATTTTTCAACCTCAGCGGATGGAGCCTACCTGCTATTGACGTTAACCCACCGTGACGGCTGTATTATAGGAGTAGATATGTAATGTTCATAAAATTGAATAGCCAGCGCTGCAACTACTATTTACGTTCCACGAACATTAGGGTGCACTTGAAAACTAGTTCCGAGGCCTGGTGTGGCTCTTGGGTAAAAGCCTTAATTGCGACGCAGAATTCTGGGGAACGATTCCTGTTGGGACCCTGCCATTTATTCAATGCATTCATCGAGTCTATGCTGCCGATGTCAGCTTTTTTCTAAAGGGGCCCTGAAACACTTTTTCAAGTAACCCTGAAATGAACTCTATGAAAGAGCCTATTGCCACACGAAATAAAATGATAAATAACCCTGAAATGAACTCACTGGAAGAGCTTATTGTCCCACAAAATAAATGATGCAAAAATTTTAAAAATACGTCCAGTGCGAGTGGAGTTACCAAGGTTTTTCGCATGCTGCGATTGCATTCTCTATCTCTTGTCCCGGTGAAAGCACTGGAAGCTAAGCAGGGAGGGAAGGCAGACGCAAAGAAAAACGTCACGCGTGCTTCGTGACCTTGAGCACTTTGCTTTTCTTCGAATGCGTGGCTTTGTCAGTGTGATCATGCGCACACACGTGGACAAGTCGCGGCCTCCCATGGCAATCTCTGTAACGACCGAGCGCGCCATGTTCAAATCCGCCAATGGCTGATAGATGGGCTTACCACGAGTGATTTTCGGGCTTATTCCGTAATTTGTTGAGAAAAAAGAAAAAAAATCGCTGACTTTGGTAATTAATTGTGAATTCCAGGCCCCGTGCTGCGCTACATATTTGGCTCGCGTGTTGTCGGGAGCCTCTACCACCTATAGCGCTTTCTGGCCATGCTCAAAAAGTGTTGCAGGACCCCTGTGCAACACTTTTGGGCATGGTAAAAAAAAACGCTATGGATCATAGGTAGGGGCTTCCGAGAATACGCTAGATAAATATTATAGCGCAGCATACAGCCTGGAATTCAAAATAAATTGTCGAATCAGCAAAATTTTGTTTTTTCTTTTCTCAGAAAATCACGGAATGAGCCCGAAAATTTCTCGTGGTAAGCCCATCTATCAGCCTTTGGCGGATTTGAACATGGCGCGCTCGGTCGTTACAGAGATCACCGCGGGAGGCCACATCTTGTCCATGCGTGCGCGTGCGATCACACTGAAAAAGCCACGTATTCCAAGAAAAAAAAAACAGTGCTCAAGGTCACGAGGCCCCCGTGACGTTTTTTTTCCTTGCCCCTGCCATCCCTCCCTGCTTAGCGTTCGTCGGGACGAGAGAAAAGGACATTAGATTGCAGCGTGCGACAATTATGAGTAACTTCGCTCGTACTGGGTGGATTCCTAAAATTCTTGAGGCATTAGATTCGTGAGGCAATAAGCTCTTTTAGTGACTCTATTCCATGGTTAGTTGAAAAAGTGTTTCAGGGCCCCTTCAACGCTCACGTGTTAAAATTAACCATGTCTCGTCTCGCCGCAGCTCGGTAGCTATAACTTGGCGCTAAAATACCTGTGGCGCGTACCGGGGGCCAGTGGTATACGAGTATGCGCTACCCATGTCTGAAGGCAAGGGTTGACGTCGTACCGTGACTTCAACATTACTTATAATAACAGACACCTCAAATATGTCAGACCCTCTTAGCCTCCCATACTGATTTTGGTCTACCTAAATTTATGGACGTGATTACGAGAGCACCTAGGTGTAGATTAGATAGATAGATAGATAGATAGATAGTTAGATAGATAGATAGATAGATAGATAGATAGATAGATAGATAGATAGATAGATAGATAGATAGATAGATAGATAGATAGATAGATAGATAGATAGATAGATAGATAGATAGATAGATAGATAGATAGATAGATAGATAGATAGATAGATAGATAGATAGATAGATAGATAGATAGATAGATAGATAGATAGATAGATAGATAGATAGATAGATAGATAGATAGATAGATAGATAGATAGATAGATAGATAGATAGATAGATAGATAGATAGATAGATAGATAGATAGATAGATAGATAGATAGATAGATAGATAGATAGATAGATAGATAGATAGATAGATAGATAGACTGTGCTATTTGGATGCCGGGCATGAAGCTGTATTTCTTTGATACACTCTCATACCTATAGTTCAGCAACATCGCAGGGCCTGAAGACACGCCCGCTCAAGCATGTATTTTTCGTAGGGTTGCTATATTACCATGAACAAATTCTGCTAACTCTGATCACTCCGAACGTAGAGGTACTTCACTTTTTTACTGCCACACGAAAACAGCGACAACTTCGAACCATTCCCATCAAATCTGTTTAGTACACGCCCATCCGGGGGTTAGTGGTGACAGTAAATGGAAGTACCTATGAAACAAAACACACAGACAGAGAGAGAAAGAGAGAGATGAGCGAAGGGAGAAGGAAATCTGTAAGCCGTTATTAAAATCTTTAGCTTCATGGTTCTTTTTATTGTTGTTTTTACGCGTCGTTAAAACTTACAACCCATTTTTCTTCAGGCCACCTTTCCCTGTTTTAATGAAGTCTACCATGTTTTGGGCTCGTAGCCACATATCCTTTGACCATGTACCGGTATCGAAATTTTATTGCTCAACGGTGCTGACGCATTTTGATGGATAGGCATTCAACTCTCGGAAACAAAACCCGTCATAGTTTTCGAGCGGATGCTGCTGGCTCGGCTCCATAGTGTTTGTATAGACGGGCGTTGACGATGAGAAAGCATCAAAGGTGTTTGTAGAGTGCTTCAAGTCGACATGTTTGTGCGATCATTGAAGGATATACTTCCAGTGAACGTACGACCTGTGCATGCTATATCACGCTCTAGCCTTCTATTTTTTTCATCCAGTTAATAAATCTTTTCACCATAGCAACTTGGTGAACTAAATGTACGCCTGGTTAACCTTATTTTCTTGCCTATTCGCTCTCTCCCTCATTTTTCTGTGGTGATGATATGACACTAAATCACCAGCAGGCTACTTGGAACGCTGCAGCACTTTAGACAGCGCGCAGCTCGATCACACCTTTATGTCACATATCATTCAACAAACGCAGCTGTCCTGCGCCAACTCCAGAGATCGACTCTAAGCAATGTTTGAATTCACGTAAGAGATATGTAAGGCAGGAAAGCTCTCGTTTACGTCTGGCTTTACAATAAAAGATTCCAAAAGGTCCCGCTCAGTTTGTAACTTTAAGGCGCACGGCTCTCGAAACCACTGGATGCACTAAGTGACCTCATTTGTCGCAACCCCGAAGAGTTGAGAAACAGCGTGACACAATTTAGCCCGTAATCTATTTCGTGTCTTCCAAGAAAAGCAAGACGGTGTTTGTCATGGCTTGTTGTGATGTGATGTCTGTCCTCTACATATAGTCTTTTTGTCCTACCTTCCTTTGCACTACCACCTTTCAACAACCAGTGGCGAACCCAGCTGAATGAACACGATCAACCTCTGTTACTCTCTTCGTGTACTAATCAATGCAAAGCGATTTTCTGTACGCAGTGACTAATATGACGACAGCACAATAAGATGTTGTTTAGCAATGTATACAGTCACTGCACAAGTGCTCAGCTTCTCAATTAGCTTGTTGCTTACGGCATACAATGCTTAATTTTACAAGCATTGCTTGTGCAATCAGTCTAACGCATCACCTAATAACAACTTGTTTCTCTTTCTTGGATAAGGTTACGCTATTTTTCGGCCCCAGTAGTGAGGATAACTCAGCATCTGTACGTAATGGTGAAGAGCAATAGAGATCAGAAGTGAGTAGGATAGAAGAAAATGACTCTGCAAGTGTATCTTATGAGAACAAAGCTTTGAGTTCACTCACGTGCGATCATGTGGAAAGGACCAGTCATGAGTTTGCAGCAAGCTGACCTCGCCATGTCAAAGAGCGGGTGGTTCGGATTTTCCTGGAAACGTTCATCGATGCCGAAGGCACCTCGAGCCACGAAGTCCATGGAGAGTTGCTCGTATTTGCGCATCATCTGTACTTCCTCTCCCGTCTCAGCGCTTTTGTCCAGATATTTCAATAGGTAGTTCACGTCCTCTTCGAAAAACGGCATCATCTGCTCGAGGACGAGGGTACAGGATGGCCGAATATGTTTTATATACAAAACAAGCAGCGGTTGTGACCAGCTGCAGTGCGCATGCCTTAATCTAAGCAGTGATCCGATTAGGTGGAACAGCTTTAAAAGGCTCGGATGCTCAGATGGTTCGATCCTAACAGGGACTGTCCCAATTCCATGAAGGCAAATTGCTTGACGCCCGGCTATGCGTTGCGTGATGTCAGTGCACGCTCAATAACACCGGATGGTCGAAATTTCCACAGCCTCCGACTACGGTGGGCCTCGCAATCACATTGCCACATTCCTTCCTAAAGTTTTGTTATCGCTTCATCGCGCTTTAAGTAATTTTCAGCGCAAACCACGCCTGCAGTGTTCAAGAAGCTTCAGGACTGAAGTAGATTATTTTGTTAAGAATACGCCCCCAACGCGAAAATTACAGAGTGTTCAGGAACCTACATGACCAATAGCGATAACGCTGGGTTATTCAATGACGCGTGTTTAAATGCCGACTCGCTTCACCTCTTTTCAGTCGATTGATGGCCGACTCTCTGTTCGCCGCCGTCAGCGCCAGTGTCTTTCTGTAATCTGAATTTCGTTTTACGTGGTCAGAAGTTTGGCCAAATAAACAGTTTGACCTCAGCATCCTCTCTGGTAACTTCGTCCTCGTCCCTACCACGTGCCAATGTGATTTGGGCACTTAAAATCCAAGATACTCTATAATTATTAGAAGCTTGCGTTCATTCGGGCTGACAAAATTATCATAGAGGCACCGAGTGAGAGGACAGATTCCAAGTATTTTTGTGCATATTTTACACATTAATAATTATAAATATGCACAAAAGTACCTGGTATTTGTCCTCTCATTCGGTGCCTTTATGATTATTTCGTCAGTCTGAGTGAACGCATGCTTCTAATAAATAGTATACATTATCTGGGGTTTTCAGTTCCCAAACCACGATATTGCCACGAGGTCGTGACACGGACGAAGGGACTAGAGTGAATTTGTGTGAATATTTTCCTTTCGTGAATACTTTTCTGATGTGAAAATATTACGTTACTGTATCCGTGGCGTGAACATTCGTGTAGCGTGAACTATTGCATTGTAACATTGGGAGTGTGCATGTGAATGGCCGTCAGTGTAGTATTTCCTCACTCGGGCTTGTCAACGGCATTATTAGGAAAACTCTCATGTCAAATAAGAAAGTAAGTGGCATAAGGTTCGGATGCCAGCATATTCCTAAATACATTTGTTTACAAAACAGAGACGAGTCAAAAGTAGTTGAAAGCCACTCTTAGGACAACTCAAGAAGTATTGAACGATTTCAAGCAGCAAAATTGCAACTTAGTAAGAATCTTGTTCCGATTAAAGCATAAAATATGTAATCGCAGAAGGTGCAAGCCTCTAGTCATGTGCCGTTCAATTGCTACGTAAATATTTAAAGATAATTATCTTAATTGGGATACTTGAACACAAAATGTTTGGTCTGTTTGTCTGTCTGTCTGTCACACATTTCAGCCACCTGGCCTAAGTTCAAGCACTTGCTGAACGCCAAGCCATCTTGAACTGGTGGCCGCGTTCATACTTGTGAACATTGTCGATAAATGCAAATATTACGCATATCTGAGGCCCAAAATTAGTACGTAAGCATTAGGTAGTGTGTTTCTTTGCTAGAACATACATAGGTACGTAATTCTAGATACCCTAGTGTTTCTTAGGCTGCACTGAAAATGTGACGCTGTGCACGAAAGAAGGCCGGCGGCACCCTTTACCGAGTTTCGACGACATTTGCAGGGAATAGCGCAGATACGTGGCCATCATTTTTTTTTTCATTTCGCACCATTATCAGTAGCCACAACATTCATCCAAGTGATGTGAGCATATCAACGGCAAATAAAAAAATTTTATCCTGAGAAATGCTGATTGTGTCTGAGCACGCAGATGATGGTAAACTTACTTTAGCGAGTTCTTATGGGACCTTGTATTGTTTACATTACCTTTAACCATCGTGTTGCAACCCTACTCAAAGTCAACAGTTTCCATACCTGTTTCAGTTTAGCCGCACTGAAACCGTAGGCAACAGAGTTCCGAATGCTCTTCCACATGGGGGCATTAACGTGGATGATCGACTTGCCGAGGTACGGATGCATCTGGTCTGTCATCATTGTTAGCTGCAAGATGAAGTTAGAGTTCGTCAACCTTAGCAAGACACTCAAATGATGCTTGAAACAATCAAATAAATAACACTAGCCGAGGAGCTTTACACTAGAGATGATCAAAGTAGTCGGTGAGTGGCAACCGCCGTGATAGTTTATCTCGTACAGTGTCGCGCTGCTAAGCTCGAGGCCACGGGTTCGATTCTTTGTCTCGATTACCGCACTTGAATGTGGGTGAAATGCAGAAAAGGACAATGTCCTTCAATTTAGGTGCACACTAAAAATCTCAGGTGGCCGAAATTAATCCTTAGTTCACTATTACGGCAAGCCTCATAGTCATGTCGAGGTTTTACCCCGTAAGACCCCCGCAAGCGTCATTATCACTGAGAAGTTCACTACAAAGGTGCGAAAAAATCCCATTAAATTGCTGGCATTCGCAAACACCCAAGTCTTAGCTTCGCACTTGTAACACGGTTTTTTTTTTAATCAATCAAACGGGACAAAAAGGTTCGTTTAACTCAGATTTCCGTATTAGCGCGTGATCCACCGTACTTACTGGGACTGGTACTTTTCGCTTAAAGGCAGGTGATACGCACATTTTGCCGAATCAGGTGCTATAAATGCGACTCAAGTGATTAAAATCATCGTATGCAATAGAACTTACTCCTCGATTCATGAAGTTCTGAAATTTTCTGACGAAGACCTGCTCTATCAATTCCAAGTCTTGTGTTACGACGAACGGTACATCTCCATTGTAGAATCTGCATGAACAAAGGGGAGAGTGCAAGCGCAAATATTTTTTCATTACCATTTTTACGAATTTCCACCCATTTTGCGAATGGCACTTGAAAAACTCGCAGGTTTCCTTAACCATTCGCTTAAAATAACTGGAAGGCGAAAGCTGATATGTGATGCTCATTGGCGCAAGGGTCATTTGAGGACCAAAGGGTGCCAAGGTGACGAAAGCTATAGCCTTTCTCTTCTCAGTCTATGCCACCCCCCCCCCCCCCCGCCATCTCCAAATGCTTTCTGAGCCTAAGGTGCTTTTGCACTATAGCGGTGCACAAGCTGCAATTTAAAGCCAGAGCGGGGCCCAGGCCCGCTTACTGCGTCGAAGGCCCACCAGACCCCTATACAAGGCAGCAAGCCCACCCGGCCCGGCCCGACGAACGAACACAAAAGTCTAAGACCGGCCCGGTCCGGCTCGATACTATGAAGGCTCGTTGCAGAAACATGATATCATTTTCCAATAACGTATACCACTGCAGTCAGCATATAAAGTTGCATCATATGCAGACGACACCTGACATGCACTGTGTACACGTATTTCAAGTTGTTTAAAAATAACAAGACTATATATGATTTTGGCGTCAGTGAAGTACAGTGCTCTTGCATCATATATCCCACCTGATTGAAATTCCGTCAGCTGCTCACACTGGCAGCCGGAATCGTTAATAATTTTTTTGCATGGCATATCAGGCTTGGCAGTTTCGAATTCTTGTTCTTTCAAAAATTTAGTACCTCAGGGGGAGTAAGGAGGATGATTTCATGGTTAAATAATTGTCAAGCTCATCATCTCTACTCATCGCTACGTGATGGAAAACAATTACGGCACAGCATTTATATAATAGCTTTATTCGGACTTTGCCCCTGTCTCTAGCTCGGTACGATAAAAAAACAAGGTATAGCCCAAGCCCGGTCCGGGCTACATATTATTATTATTATTATTATTATTATTATTATTAATGCATTACCCCTCGTATATTTAGAAAAACTGCCCGTTTTTCTGTACCATTCGTCAAAACACGATATGGCAAAGCTACTAAAAAGGTCTATGTCCCCACTGTTTTTAATGACATCCGCGACAGTGTTTTTTTGGCAACGACTAAACGCAGTCTACGAAAGAGCCTAAGGTCTTTTTAATGCTGCATTAGTTATCGCATTATTATTTTGTTTTCTAGTTTCTTGCATGCTGGGTATAATCTGTTTAAAATTTTTCAATGCTGGTGATCACATTTCTGATATTTAGGTAGTATTACTTTCGCTAATTTGATTCTCGATTGTTATTGTGTTTATATGTAGCGTAAATGAGTCACATTTATTCTTTTTCTTATTGTTTACATGAAAAGCTCCTCAATATATATGTCATCTCTCGTCTGCCGATGTGCCGGGTGAAGACCTCCAAGCCACTGCCTGGCTTTGACAGGCCTGTTATTTGTTTTGTACAAATCAAGATGACAATAAAGATTATTATTATTATTATTATTAATATTATTATTGATATTATTATTATTATTATTATTATTATTATTATTATTATTATTATTATTATTATTATTATTATTATTATTATTATTATTATTATTATTATTATTATTATTATTTCTGATACAATCGCATCTTTCAGGAATGCACAATGAGGGACCGCCACGGGTTTATTTGTGCATGCAAGTCTTTTAACAGCTCTACAAGGTAGATGTAGATCACTCGGCTAATGCTTACCCAAACGTATCGCCATATTTTGCAATCCAACCTCCTACAGCTTTGTAGAGATCCTACAGAAAAAAGGAACATTTTTATTTTTGATGTATTCTGAACAGTTTTCTAAAACGACCGTTTTAAAGCGTAATTTAGGACGTGACTATTGAGCGGAAGTTGTGATACGTTTTGTAAATGCAAGCAACGTGAATGCTCTTTTAGCGTGGTTTGACTAAACCTAACTTTGCCAATGAGGGCATGTGTATTTCACATGTCTGACGTCATCTAATGTGCGTCTTTACCCGTGAAGGTCCCCATTATCGCGGAGCGGTTGACACATCCTAACGTTGCATTTCAGAAAGCTATAGATCGAGATGGTTCTGTACGCTTTGTACGATGGGCACTCCGACCGGCAGTGAGCAGGATGGAAGTTTATAGAGTATTTTATGGATGGGTTTGGATGCTGCCGTATGAGGTCGTTAACATTGCCATCGTCTCTTTTTGACAAGTGAAAGTAAAATGATGAGGTAAAGGCATGCGCATAAAAACGGTTAGGTTGTCGCACTCGATTTTTCACGTCGTGATATGCAAAAACCAGAACACATCTGTTGAACACCTCGAGGTGACAGTTCCCGTATGTCTTAAGCAAAGTTTCCGATATTCTGCAATTATTTGGTGATAGGTGCGACGCAGGTTGTACGTCATTAGGTGATTTGATGACTTCGATATCAATTTATAAAGCGCTGTGTGGCCCGGAAATGACTTTGTGTTAGCGTCCAGGCGGCTACAACTTCTGGCTGCTCTGAGCTAGGTATACAGAGCTAGATACCTCGACTGACGATAGAGGTACCTAACTGTTTGCGGTTTTTAAGCTTGAACATTGTTTAAAACCTAATCTTATCAATGGTGATCGGACGATATTGAATGTCGTATCACTTATTTTTACCAAGGTGCAGTTTAACATTGTACCGCGAAGCGCTTTAATAGAAATGTTCTGACCGTGGAGTGATATTCCATAAGGTTTCCCCATATCAAGTTGGGTTTGGGGCCTGGAATCCCCAGCCGCTTGAAGTACGTGAAGTGCCACCAGCGCCATCTAGAACGCAAGACAAAAAGAGGAAGAAAAAACTGTAGCTAGCTTTAAAATGTGATCTGCTTTTTTTTTTCAATCAAGCACTTAAGTCACATCACTCATTGACATAGGGCAGTCACATAGCAGACTTTGAGACTTTCTATGTATAGGCTGCCATAGCTAAAATTACTGGAGTGGGTTACTGCTGAAAATACGGGCATCGTCTTAGAAACAATGCGCATCTTCTATCAGAAGATCAGAAGCGGTGCCTTGTTCTGCGCAGAAGCAATCTCACAGTTGCAAAGTTGATCTGCGGAGTTCACCCAAAAAGGCGTATTGTATACCTTCGTCTCGCAAATAGGGTGACTTTTTTTTTGTACCCACTTTGGGTAGCCCTTATAGAGCACAGAAGCGTCATCGTATTCAGTTCTGTATCAAAAGAATGATCGTGACTGCGTAAAGAACAAAGCAACCAACAATTTGTAACAGACGAAAACATGACGAAACATGGAAATTCAGCTGCGAATTTTAACTTCAACAAAGTGCAATTGGACTAAGTGCCACTTTTACGAAGAGCGCAAATCTGAATCATAATGAGTCTATTAATTACACACGTATTAGAGCAGTTTCTTTATTTTCAGGCAATGTTGTAATGAAATGGGGAGTCTATTTTTCATGCATGGCTTAATTTGCAGCTTTAATTTCCGAGAGTGCTCATGTTCACACACTTCCTGTTGACAAGCCAAACAGAAATGAAAGCCGTCCTTCTCGCGGATGCATTGTGTCAGTCCTCGACACAGTGAGGGTAGTGAAGACAATGTCATGTTATGTGCTTAGACAAAAAAGTCACAGCTTTGCCGGAAAGGTGAAGCAATGAACGCGATACAAAACAAATTGAAAGGTCACGCACAGAATAGAAAGCAGGTCGAAACATGCCCCACGTTCCTCACGCCCAAATCACGCACAAAACGTACTCACAGGTATACGGATGCACGCCAATAAGCGTCTCATTCATTCCTTTGCTGGTTCTGAAAAGCGCGCGTTTTTCGCAAACGGAGACTCCAATGATTGCAGTCACCTTTTTGCACCCGGTAACTGCAGCAGAATCGTTCCATTTAAACCTCGGAGGCCAGCCAAGGCGTACGACCTTCCTCTCTTCGCCGCCGCGAGATAAGGGCGTGTGAGGGAGGGTCGCTCCCCTTCTTCAAGCCGAGCAAAGTACGCGTAGGAGATTAGAGCTGGCGCCACCGCGCGATGTGGCGATGCGCGCTGATTGCGCCATCTTGCTGGTAATGCTGAAAACACAATCCCCTCCCCTAGATGCTCGTGAGCAGCGGTAAGTGGTAGATATAAATAGCTTGCCGTTTGAACGGTGAAGGATGTGCTCCGGGGTGGCTCAGTGGTTAACGCCTTGCTTTCACGGCGCACAGGTGCCACGTTCGATTCCACGCGCCGGATTTTTTTTCCCTTTCTTGCGTTTTCATGTATATGAATTCGTATACATATACGGTGCATGACATCGACGCCGACGTCGACGCCGACGCCGGCGGCAAAATCCAACCGAGAGTGTCCATATGATTGCTCTCGCAATAAAATTCGGGGACCCTATAGCTTCGCTTTCAGAAGTTGAACACGATGGCGATCTTCTATTCCTAGTGTGTATTTTGAACACCTAGTGCTCGAAATTTTTTCGAACTTACTCTGCACTCGCTATGTGGCCCTAAAAGGACACTAAACGTCAATATTAAGGCGATGTCCATTCCTGAAGTAGCGGCACAGAAACCTCGCAGTGCTACTTTTGCGCCCAGGAATTGCTTATTTTGAAATGAAAACACTTTTTAGTGCTCTGCATCGTGTTACCGCACTTCAGATTATCCACCTCAAGTGAAACCTTTCGTATAATCGTTGCCATCCACAACGTTGTCCGGCTTTACTGCGCAGCCTAGTTGCAGTAGAATGAAAGTAGCAGGAGCCACAGCAGCAACAATGGTCATTGAACGATTTCCTGCCATAGCCTCCGAAATGGCAGGCCTGGTTGGTTCAACTGGGCCCCAATCGATGTCACGACATGTACAGTTTAACCAAGCGAAATTTGAGCTTTTGAACCACTCGCGCCATTCCCGATAGCAACATCGGGTGGCTCTTTTTCTGTGAATCAAAAAGAAACAAACAAGCAGCATTGTATTACGTGTCCTTGTTTCGGTTCTTTGTTTAGTGGAGCTAGTTAGACTACTAGCAATTAATTGTAGGCTGTAAGTCTGACGTCATCGGGATCACTTTGCAAATTTCCTTGTCGTGGCGCATGTGTTCTCGTGCATCTACATTAATTTCTCGGTAAGTAGGTCCCTGCTGTTGATAATATTGTCACTTTAGATGTTGTCATACATTGAGCTTTCACTCTGACTTAAATTGTTATTTGACTTTAGTGTCCCTTTAAGGAAACAGTACAATAGAGGATATGCCCTTTTTAGTAGATTACTGGCTCTAAACCACGAAGTCATTAGGATAATCGCATGTTCTGACACCCGATTGCAATGGGCGCTTGTACCACGCATTATTACTGCAATATTTCATGTTGTATTGTGAGGCATGTATACAAAACGCGTGTCACACAAAGCATGTGTCACTTTCACTGCATTTTCAAGCAGTGGAAGTTTTTTTCAATGTATTTTCATGCAGCCGCATGACCGCATGAACACCCGCTTGTCACGCATATGATCCGGGTCCGACCCTACTCGGACCCACGCAACCCCGGTTCGATCCGTGCTCTGAGCCAGGGTTTTTATTATTTATTTTATTTGCATAGTTCTCAATTTTTGCGGTGACGCATAAGATTATGTTTTTTTTTTCGCTCACAACCAACAATGCCGATGCCGACGTCGAAATTTCTGCGGAACGAGCTCTATAACGCTATCGCGTTGATATTTTGTCCTTTACGTGTCAAACCCACGACATGTACATCAGGCACGCTGTATTGAAGGGCTCCGGAAATTCCCGCCTTCTGTGATTTTTGAACGGGCACATAAGTCTCTATTCACAGGCGTCGCACCAGGACCAAGTCAATTAGGGTGGTAGTTTTAGCTGTGCACTTCTATACCAATGTGAGATTCATTACATGTGCAAGGCCCCTCAAGCTATAGGCAAGCGTAGCGCAAGTGTGCCTATGACTACTATGCGATCCATAATATAGGCCAGCAGCACGCATTTTTGGGCTGAATAGCTCTGCTCTAATGGGAGTTTCAACGTTACGTCAGACCATGGCACCACCAGGACCTTTGAAAGCCAGTGTACTTGGCGTGCATTTGTAAGCAAACGATAGACCCGCGATGGTGGCCTACTGGCTGAGGCACTCGGCTGCTGACGCGGGATCAAACACAAGCCGTGGCGGCCGCATTTCCGTCGAAAATTCTTAAGCCCGTGTGCTTATATTTAGGTGCACGTTAAAGAACCCCAGGTAGTCGAAATTTTCGGAGCCGTGCACTACGCCGTCTGCCATAACCATATGGTGGTTTCGGAAGGTTCAACCCCTGGTATCATTGTCGTTCAGTTGTCATTAATATTGCACCTAACAAATGAAACAACCTCTTAAATTTACACTTCTTTCTTTCAATCATAGATAGAATTTTTTTCGTACATTTTTACTCAGATCAGCAGACACGTCAACGCGGGCTGTGTCAAAATAGGTCATTCCTAGATAAGCGAATTGTTATTATTGTAAGCTTCCAGTTTACACGAAGACTTCAAATCACATTAAAGTGATTGGCTCAGAGTGCAAAATCTGGCTTATATGCTCCTATATTTCCTGACTGCTTCACATGAAATCGGTTCCCCAAATGCGTACGATCTGACGTATATTTAACTTGACCTGTTTCCCGTTTGCGGCGATAACTACAGCTATGCGTGGAAACAAATGGTGACGCTACAAACCTCTTATGACTATTTTTTAGGGTCACCGGCGGTGACGAATTGTTGTGTTCACATAAGTGGGATTTTTCAATATAGTTTTTCACTTCACAGAATGAAACACATTTTTGTTACTTCTGCGGTTCTGAAGCTCTGTTTTTATAAGTGCCATCTGTTTCTGTAAATACTTGGAAACGTAGTTATTTGAAAGATGTCCCAACTTCATTACAATGTGGCAAGACTGAGACGTATAGATGTCTCTAATACGATGTGTGGCAACACATTCGCCACACTTCTGTGTTCTGACGGTGGATATTATAGCGCAATTTTAATACTTTCTTTTAACAAGTGTACGAAGCACTGACGTTGGAGAGAAGTTCAATTTTATATTAGTGTATGTACATGCACACATACAAACGCACGCACGAACACACATCAAAAATGGTTGAACTCCGCCACCAGACCAATTTTTTGTTTTTTTTTGTTTGGCTACGCCACCATAAAGCACCTAATAGTAGTGAAATATTGTCACCAATGCGATGACCTGTGGCTCTTCGACACGAAACGAAGCAAGTTATCACAACTATGCCTGCATAGTCAGAGCCGCTTACGTGAACAGCACCACAAGCAGGAACACGATGAGAAGCAGCAGCACAACAGTCACCGACATGACTCCTTCAGCGTGTTGCTGGAAACTGAGCTATAGGAAACAACGCCTGTGTGGAGAAGCGTAGGCAGTTTCCAGCTGCCTTCCTAAATTCATCCAAGCAGGGGAACGCGCCGGTCATGTAATTACATTCCTTTCCTGCGGATGTCAAAGGGAACGCGATCGGTCCGTGTTTATAAATTGTTCCATGGTATAATACCTTTGAATCATGCCCGGCGTACAATGAAATCTATAGCCTATAAAGACAGCCGAGAGCTTTATTTTCTGAATACGGTCAACACTCATTACTGAGTTTACACCCAGGTCAGCTTAGCTGTCCTTAGCAATGACTACACTGTCCGTAAGAGTGTTTTAGCCAATGAACTCCTCCACAATATGTCCTTGCTGAAAAACGAAAATGTAGGGCTTTTATTTGACTTCACGCAGGTGCACGTTAGAAGTGTATGGAAGACTTCATGTGAATCGTTCACACAAAACTGATTGCTTCTTCATATATATATATATATATATATATATATATATATATATATATATATATATATATATATATATATATATATATATATATATATATATATATATATATAGGGGAAGTTATTAGGCCAATTTTAATGTAAATGAGAATGAAGAAAGAAAACTGGGTGAAAAGATAACTTGCCGTGGGCAGGATCCGAACCTGCGACCTTCGAATTACGCGTTCGATGCTCTACCACTGAGCTACCACGACAGCTATCCCCCCAGCCACTTTATTGAGTATCTATGTCAATTTAAACGTGGGAGTCTCAGTCAGCGCCACCAGTAGCCATGGCGGCGAGTGTGGCACACTCTTTGTGAGCCTGTTTGGCGTCACGTAGCTCGTGAACTTATTACTAACTGGCAGCTGACCAAATAGTACAACCTAAAGGCACCAAGTCTGCCAGTACGAGACCCTCGTTAATGAATAAGGGAAACAAGTGTATACTTAAGGGCTCGTTTTTCGTGTTTACACAATAATAATGAGATCTAACAGACAATAATGCCAAGGAAGGTATAGGGGAAGTTATTAGGCGAATTGTAATGTAAATGAGAAGAAAGAAAAGTGGGTGAAAAGATAACTTGCCGTGGGCAGGATCCGAACCTGCAACCTTCGAATTACGCGTTCGATGCTATACCACTGAGCTACCACGACAGCTTTCCCCCCAGCCACTTTATTGAGTATTTATGTGAATTTAAACGTGGGAGTCGTAATTCGAAGGTCGCAGGTTCGGATCCTGCCCATGGCAAGTTATCTTTTCACCCACTTTTCTTTCTTCTCATTTACATTACAATTGGCCTAATAACTTCCCCTATACCTTCCTTGGCATTATTGTCTGTTAGATCTCATTATTATTGTGTAAACACGAAAAACGAGCCCTTAAGTATACACTTGTTTCACTTATATATATATATATATATATATATATATATATATATATATATATATATATATATATATATATATATATATATATATATATATATATATATATATATATATATATATATATATATATATATATATATATAGTAGTGAAGAAGAGGAGCTTCAGCGGCATTTCTCGGCGCCTCGGGGGCATCGCCATCAGCATAAGCTCGTGCTTGCTGCGCTTGGCCGGACGCTGCTGACTGCTTCGTTTTCTGAGTTCTGCTCTGCAAATAAACCCCGTTACAAGTGGTGGAGTCTGATGGGTTTCGATCACCCTGGAGCTTCGGAATCGCATTTTACCATCCATTATGCCTACCGACGCAAGCGCCGCTCCAACTCCTCCACCGGCACCGCCTACTGTTCTCTGCGCCGGTTCTCTGCGTCTGCGAGATCCCCCTGTTTTCTCAGGCACAGAAGGCAAGGACGTTGACGACTGGATTTCAGTGTACGAGCGAGTGAGTACTCACAACAAATGGGATGACGCCGCCAAGTTGGCCTACGTCTCCTTCTACCTGTCGGACGTGGCCAAGCTGTGGTTTATAAACCACGAAGCGGAACTCCCTACATGAGCCTCACACAAGTTTTCGGACGGCCTGAGGTACGCAAACGCCGTGCCGAACAACGCTTACATACTCGGTCCCAGCAGCTTGGTGAGAATTTCACAAGCTATATTGAAGACGTTCTGGACCTTTCCAAGCGAGTCAACGAGTCGATGTCCGAAGAGCTTAAGATCAAGCACATCATGAAGGGCATTGAGGACGATGCTTTCCAAATGTTGCTTTCTAAGAGTCCTCGCACTGTCCTTGAACTGATCGAGTTATGCCAGAGTTTTGACGAGTTGCGCAGGCAACGTCTTTCCACCCAACGTCCCTCGGTGCTCGACGACTCTATGTCCAGCCTTTCCACCCTTGGCATAGGAGAAGACCATGCCCCTCTTCTCTCTAAGATCCAAGAGTTCATCCGCGCTGAGGTCGCTCGTCAGCTCTCTTTGATATCCTGCGTACCCGATCAACCACGCAGATTGATGCCTACACTCCACGACTTCATTCAAGACCAGGTCACACAAGTTCTTCCTCCCGCCCGTGAACCACCCCCAGTCGCCGCACCTCTCACGTACGCCGAGGCCGTTGCTCGACCTCGACAGCCTGCGTTCCAGCCAGCGCCTATGTATTCGCCGCCGCCCTTTTCGCCGCCGACCTATTCACCGCCGCCTATGCCGATACCACCTCGGCCGCAGTTTTCTGCCCCCCAGCCGCAAGTCAGAGTCTACTCCGACCAATGGCGGACCTACGACAACCGTCCCATATGTTTTGCTTGTGGCGGTGTTGGCCACGTGGCACGTTGTTGTCGTCGTCGCCAGGCTGCTCAGAACATTCGACGAATGCCCTCTTTCGACCCTCAGTTTTCTTCTACGCCTTCAAGCCCTCCTTCCTTTTCCTTTCCTTCTGATCGTCCACACGGCCCGACCCGCCGCTCCCCATCTCCACGTCGACGTTCGCTTTCCCCTATGCGTCGCCGTTCCGGACCCACTGACCAGAAAAACTAACGGCCGCAGTTCCCGAGGCACGAACTGCGTCCCCGTCGCCATGCACAAGTCCTCGCCCCTGTCCAGCTAACGTCATTGAAGTGTCAGTCGATGGTATCGTCGTCATGGCGCTTGTCGACACCGTAGCCGCTCTATCCGTCATTTCCATCAACCTGTGCCGCAAACTCCGCAAAGTTCTGACGCCATTATCCGGCCTCTCTCTTAGAACGGCTAACGCACAAAGTGTAACACCTCTCGCAGCCTGTACCACACGAGTCGCCGTCGAAGGGATTGTGTATATCGTCGAATTCGTAGTGCTGCCCTCGTGTTCCCATGACATGATACTCGGCTGGGACTTCCTTGCGAATAATAATGCTGTCATTGATTGCTGTCGCGCTGAACTTGAGCTATCTGCACTTCCTGATGTTGACGCTGTCGAAGCCTCCCTGCCGTGTTATAAACTGTTTGTTTCCGACGACACCACCGTACCACCGCGCTCTTCTCTGCTGGTGACTGTGTCGTGTGACGCTATTTCCGACGGTGATGTTTTATTTATGTCCTCTGCCCTGTTCATTTAACGCAAATGTTCTCTACTGCCCATCACTCTCCTTACTCTCCACCATGGCGTCACGAAGACGCTCGTGTACAATACGCTAGAAGGGTCTTTACCTTTAGTCTATGGTGAATGTCTCGGTCACGTGCATCCGATCGACGCCCGTCACATTTTCGACGCACCATCTAGTTTACTTTCTACGGACCTCAGCGCACTCATTTCTGACTCTGTTGTTGACCAGTCACTCCTTGACGCTTTCCACCGCTCCATCGATGTCGCAACGTCTTCTTCAGAACGGAGCCAGTTAGTGAACCTGCTGCAAAAGTTTCGTACTTCTTTTGACAGCCACGCTTCTGGCCTCAGTCGCACATCGAACATATCTCACAAGATTGACACAGGAAGCCATACGCCTCTACGGCAGCGCCCCTACCGAGTCTCAGCGTCGGAGCGCCGTGTTATTGACGACCAGGTTGCTGACATAGTCCAGCGGGGTATTGTACAGCCTTCTAACAGTCCCTGGGCGTCACCGGTCGTTCTTGTTAAGAAGAAGGACGGCTCCATTCGGTTCTGTGTGGACTATCGACGTTTAAACAAGATCACCCGTAAGGACATTTACGCGTTACCGCGAATAGACGACGCCCTTGGCTGTTTGCAGGGAGCAGAATACTTCTCTTCGCTGGATTTACGGTCGGGATACTGGCAAGTTCCTATGGAAGCATCTGACCGACCGAAAACAGCATTTGTCACACCTGATGGATTATACGAATTTACCGTTATGCCTTTCGGCCTTTGTAACGCTCCAGCCACTTTTGAAAGAATGATGGACACTATTTTACGAGGCCTCAAATGGAACACATGTTTATGCTACCTCGATGACGTAGTTGTCTTTTCCACTGATTTCGACACCCATTTAAATCGTCTCGAGCACGTCCTCGCACGTCTCACTGACGCCGGCCTTCAACTCAACCTCAAGAAGTGTCGTTTTGGTGCCCGGCAGCTCACCATTCTTGGCCACGACGTATCGCGGGACGGCATACTTCCCGACCCCGCCAAGCTTCGAGCAGTCGCCGATTTTCCGAAGCCAAAGAACTTGAAGGAACTTAGAAGTTTTCTCGGCTTGTCGTCATACTTCCGACGCTTTATTAGAAATTTTGCTTCCGTATGTGCGCCCCTTACGGACCTTCTTAGCGGCGACAAGGACCTTTCCACCTGGTCACCAGCATGCGACGTTGCATTCACCAAATTACGCCACCTGCTGACTTCACCACCCATCCTCCGCCACTACGATCCTGCCGCTCCCACGGAGATTCATACTGATGCCAGCGGTGTTGGACTTGGCGCTGTGCTCGCGCAACGAAAGGCAGGGTTTGATGAATATGTCGTCGCCTACGCAAGCCGAACTTTGACGAAAGCCGAGGCTAACTACTCCGTGACCGAGAAAGAGTGTTTAGCTATTATTTCGGCCCTTGGAAAATTTCGCCCCTACCTGTATGGTCACGCATTCGACGTCGTCACTGACCACCACGCCCTTTGTT